GCTCTTCCTTGTGGGAGAGGATCGCAGGAGTCAAGTCATCGAGCGAAGACTGCAGTAGAAAAGGTAATCGAGGAAAAGAAAAAGGATGAAGAGGCGCGAAAAGAAGGCTACGGAATCTCCTTCCGATATCCGGATTGGAATTGCAGATGGCGCCCAACCTTGCGCCACCTCGCCATCGCCGTCGCCGTCGTCGCCGCAGCTGCCGCCAGTCGAGTCCGACCGACCTACCGACCGCGGGGCGCGGCAGAAGGGGGAAGGGAAGGAAGGGGCTGCGCTCGCTCTCTCGACTCCTTGTAGTCTTCCTACGATCCGCCATCCGCTCCGTCGGCCAGTGTTTACGCCGACGACGAGAGGTATTCGCGATCGAAACCGGAGAGAACGGAAGAGCTTGGCGCAAGAGAGTTGGAGAAATAGAGAGTGAGAGGAAGAGAGAGGAGGAATAGGGATAAAATCGAGAGGTGGGGAACTCTAAGGGGAGCTAAGAGGAAGATGTCTTTCATGCCGCTGTTGATACTTTTGAGAGACGAAACATCGAACGTCGATACTTTCGATCGACGAACGGACGGACGTGGCGATTAGTGGGTCCTCGGGCTCGGGCCCTTCCTCTCGTTGACCGATGCTCGTCGATTGACGCGACACTAATCGTCACGCGACGTCGTCGCCACCACTCTACCACGATAGCGCACCTCGGTAGCAAGATAACCTACTCGCAAAACACTCACAGAAGGTTTGTTTCCAATTAAGCGCTCAACGGACGGCTCGCGCGGTTCATTCGCGTTATTAAATCCTCGTCAACGATGAAAACAAGCGTATATCGACGTATAAAGATAGAAATAGAAAGCAGCTCTCGTCGCACGATGGTAGATCCTAGAATCCCCCGTTCCTCTCCTCCCGATCTCAAAGAACCGTAGTCTTGCAAAATGGCCACCTAATTAATTCCGTGTGATTCGTTTTACAATCTTATCGCGCCGATTTCTAGAAAAGAATCGACAGGGATCGCAACCGATGCCGAAACCGTTATCCGAACAAATCAATCGAGTTATTACGGTCAGAGTTTATCGGGTCTCTACGAATTACCCGATAGAGATTCTCCGCGTCATCTAAAATATTGCGCGCACGCTCGAGTAAACGAGCGTTCATTGAATTTTCCGAGCCGACCCGTTGCGTGTCCATTTCCGCCCACGCTCTTCTCTACCGGATATTGTCGGGACGAGAAACTAAAATCGAACACGGATGCGGGCACTCGGAGTAATCTTTCATTTATTCGCCGTTGTGCAAATTAAGATTAATTTTTTTCGAAATTGATCTCGCAAAGAGTCGTGTAGTGTATTCTTTTTGAAAAATTTTATATAATTTTATATATTTTATATCACGCAACATAAGTATCAATTTTTAAGGAGACGAGGTAGCTGTAATGATCAAAACAAATCTCAAAATATGCACTATATATCTCATGGGATTTTTGCAAGAAACATTTTTTGAAGAAAAATCAAGATTTAAAATATATTTATCTATATAATATATAATTTTACTTTAATATGATTGCCATTTAAATTTTTTAAATAGTATATCGTAAAAATATTTATAAGAGACGTTTATATATGTGAAAAATTAAAAAGACGCTTCTGCGAATTTTGATTTCATTTAGATTGTCAAGCAGGCGAATCATCGCGATGACGTGTTTCCTCCGTGAACGTGGATACCCATCGCGAGTAAGAGCGCGTGTACGTCAGTGGCGCGGGATTAATCATGGCGTCATGTGGCACGATGTGGGATTTCTTGCGGCCGTGAAAGCCACTTTAGCCACTAAATTCGATCTGCGTTCTCGCGGAATCGCGAGCCAATAACGACTCTCTTCAACGACTCTTGGTAAACAACGGCGGGCGGTTATGAATTTTGTCCTTATCACGATCAGCTGTACCTTCTTGCGACGCCTCCACTCTTTTAACACCTCCTGAATCTACGGCTTACTTCCTTTCGAACGAAAAGTGTAAAAAATATATTTAATCTAATGACATTGAGACTTTTCCATAGCGCGTTTACGGCGTCAATTATAATAGGTCGAGGCGATTCATCAATATCAATGCCGATCATTGATATCGAAAATGTAGCCATGTTTATCGTTCATCGTTCGTTCGCACACAGCGATAAATCGCCGCAAAGAATGCGTCAAAAAAATTATCTTGCATAATCACACGCGCGTTTCTCTGCACTTTTTGCATTTTGAACGAGGGAAATGTATTATATTTGTGTTGATTATGTATATACTTTCTAAAGGATACAGTAGAGTAAGCGCTCAATTTAAGATAAAGGAATTTCGCATAAACCATTCTCCGAAGAATTATCGCGGAGATCGCGAGGAAAGGAGAGGAAGTTTAGACGCTCTCCGAAACGTAGTCCGTTCACCGCGCATGATTTCACGAGCATGATGCAAAAGTTGCGTGGCTCAGCGATATTGCGATATCGCACACCGCGATAGAGGCTCTTAAGTAAGTAACTTGGCGCGAGAGGTATCTCCTCGTTTACGGTGTTTAGTAACGATCGAGACGCGCGTCCGATACCGATAGATCCGGGACGCGAGGTGGAGGAGACAACGCGGAGGGTAGGAAAAAATTATTCCCTTGTAAGAGAAGAGAAATAATTTTACACAAAGGCCAATTCTCTATAGGCAGAAAAAGAAAGAAAGAATTTAAAAAAAAAAAAAAAGAGGATATGGCAGACCATCACCGCCACCGTTGTTGCCATCGTCATCGTCGTTGAAGCGCGTCTAGATCGCTTCCTCCATTGTGCCGAGAGGCACAGATGATGTGTGCGCGCGCGCGCGCGCTCGCACGCACGCACGCACATCCGCTCGGACCGTAACGTGAACCGGAATTTGTTACAGCCACACACGTGTCGAGGACGACGACGGACGACTGGGAGAAAAGCAGTCCAGTAGCCAGATGATCGACGCGCTGACAGATCGCGATATCGCTCCGATAAAGCATTTTAATCGCCCCTTCTAGAGCGAGTGCGTCGCGAAGCGGGTGAACGTTCGAGGAGGTGACAGGCGACAGACGACGAAAGTCCGTGCCATTGTTCGGCAATCGTATCGCCAGAAGACGCATTTGGACGCTGCGAGAGGTGATCGTAATCGTCGTCGCCAGGCGGAGACCATCGGCTCCGAGGATGACGAGGATCGACGACCTCGGGAACGCGTAGAGATTGGTGGAATAATTATTCTTGCACGCCATGTTGGCCGCGGCGGGCAAGGGCGAGAGAAGAAATCTGCGCGGAAGTGCGCGACTCTCGTCCAAGATGTCGGGAAGGCCGCCCCGGTTGCGCGCACTGCGACCGCGGTCGCGGCAGCAACGGACGAGGACGGACGCGACGCGCAGATCGGAAAGTAACCTTAAAGAGGCCGCGAGTCATGAGGAGGAGGAGGAGGAGGAGCTCGACGGGAAGAGATGCGACGAGGAGGAGAAGAAAGCCGAAGACGCGGGGAAGATGACGGACACGGTGAGCACTGACATGGCGAATGAAATGGACGACGACGAAGACGACGACGGCAACGACGGCAACGATGGCGACGACGACGAGGTGACCATGACAGCGATCGTCGACGAGAGGAACGAAGAGGCGACACCAGACAACGGCGACGATATCGTTGACGTTGACATTGACGTTGACGTTGACGTGGAGATGAGAACCGAAGGAGGAACGATGGAGACGACGAACGAGCAGGCTTCTTACGAGTGCAAGAGCTGCAAACCCCCCAAAATGCTGCCCGATATCAAGGCCTACTTGGAGCATCTTCGTAAGGAGCACAAGTATAAGGTGAGCAAGACAACGGCAAGGCCGTTTCTCTTCCGTCCGGATTCATATCCTCCACTCTGTCTCCGTTTTGCGTCTCTCGTGTTCGTTCCTTTTTTTTTCATCTTTTCTTTCCTCCTTTTTTTTTTAAGTAGAAGCTGTTTTTGAAAACGCGAAATACGCGATAAAAGGCGAGGCGATAAGTGCTAAGGTACGTTGCGCGTTACTACTTTACATTTATACGATCCGAGTTTTCTCTAGTGTGACGACGTATTAAGTGAATCATTCATATCAAGACAACACACTCATCAGTTCGCAGGAATATGTTTTATTGTAATTTTTAGGGTAAAAACGGGCACAATCCAGTCGAAAATCGTTGCCCTACGTGTTCATTGAACGTGAAAGATCTTGAAACTCACCAAAGAGTGCATCATTTGAAAAGAAAATTCTTTCGATGCGCAAAATGCGATTACATGACGCACATCAGAGCGCGTTATACTAAGCATGTTAAATATCATTCTATGCCGATGATCAAGTGCGATGCTTGTGATTTTAGTTCAGCGTATAAGGTTTGTTTCTTCATAATCCTACTTGGTTTCCGAGAGATGAGTGATTATAAATCACAAATTTTCCAGGGGTTCGAAGAGAAGCTTGCGATTACTTTAAGATTATATCTATATAGATTATACGTGTGTCTTTTTTAACGCTATTTTTCAGTGGAATCTAGAAAGACATATGCGGAATCATGGAGGTGGAGGTGCTTTCAAATGTCGCGCTTGTAATTTTACTGCTGATATCCGTCAGAGCTTAACGGTGCATGAGTCGTATCATCACGACCCACCTGTGAGTCATGTCAACCGCAAAAGTAATAACGCTTTTGAACGTAAGCCACGAAATAGTCCGAAACGTTATAATCAGGTAACGCAAGCATACACGATTGTTATATTCTTTGTTGAAATATATTGATTAGTCGTGTTAAATAGTCATGTTTGATATGTCTGTTAGGTTGGAGCGAGTGACTTTCGAGCAGCGTTAAATAAAACTGGAAGTACAACCACGTCGGCCAACTCTACCGATTCATTCGTATCGGATCATTCGTTGATTTCAATAGACGATAAGAGAAGCGCTCTAGCCAATGCCGAATGCATTGCATTGAAATGCGAAGAAAAGGGATGTCAATTTATAACAGCCTGGGATTCCGAGATGCAACGTCATGTAGCGGAATGTCATTCTCCGATTGCTCCACCCAAGCCAAGGAAACCACTGCCACGATTAATTCCATTAAGTTTAGCTAATTCTAAGCCCAATAATACGGTTGGCAATAGCGGGCCATCCACAACTCTGCTGAAAGTTCCACGGGTCAGAGTGAGACCCGAGTTGGCGCAAATTGCGAGGGATACAGAACTGGCCAAGATGTATGGAAATAAAGAGGTTGGTTGTTTGTTGAGCGAAACAATTTATTTTCGTTGTTGCGTAAAACGTGAATGTAATATACGTATAATTTTACTTTTTTAATTACTTATACTATTGTAAATTTGTATACGATAACCTTTATGTGCACCAGTGCACACTAATGCATCTGACCGAATTCGCTATATGTTTTTGTCATTTTGTTGCAGTGTGTTTTTATTTTATTACCGTTTGTCATTTCATTTTTCAGGCCGCGAATTCGAAGAGGGACCTCAATACCGCAGCCGGTATATTTGAGAGAAAGAACGCTTCCTTCTTCGATAAGCTTAAGGAAAAACTAACGACGTCGGCGTCGATTAATAATAACGGCGTGCCAGAGGTAGCTGTAAGTAGCGAGAACGATTTGAAATGCTGGTGTACGTTTAAAGCTAGTAGCATGGAGGAACTAGCTTGCCACAAACAGACACATCACACTGCGCTCAGCGTATCCGTGGGTACGACACGTTGTCCTAAGTGTAGAAGACGTTGCAAGAGTACAACTGATCTTCAAGTGCACATGCAATGCTGCCATTCGCGCAACGACACAACATCGTCCATCGATAGTAGTTTAGAGAAAATAACGAATTGCTCGGACGTCCGCATGACCTCGTCTTATCGTGGTGAATACTCTTTTCCATCGCAAATGGATTGGGACGCGAATCTCAGAGGATTAAATTCTTCTGGATCCTCGGTACAGTGCTTGATGATAATGATCTATGTATATGAGATAAGAAAGTTACTACCCAAAAAGATATCGCGATTCTCTGCGAAAATCATTGCGATCTATATAAAGCAGCTAAAAAGTTATTCGTGGAACGCGGGCGTTTATAGAAATTCTATGTGAAGTAAACTTTTTTTATCGCTGTATGAATATTTATTTTAGCCATGTGTTTTATAATTTCTATTTTCTGTAAAATAGTTAAAAATCTGTTATACTACTAGTGTTAGTGTTAGCACATATAAAGCATATATCTTAGAAGTGTGCAGAAGCTCTATGTATCGAGAAACAATAATTAGAGAATGTTAATTAGAGCCTCGTTATTTTTATTTTTTTATTCTTTTTTTCGTTTATTATTAAGAATGTGCTTTACATATTGCATAGTGGATGTCGAGCATCTCTCTTCTAGTTTGTTACTAGTTCATTATTGGCATCCTGAGTTTGATACGATAAAAAAAAACTTTTATCAGGTTGAAGGTGGTCCGACACATCCGACCGGGCGGCGAGTATTCAAATGTCCCCATTGTCCGTTTTGGGCTTCCACCGCAAGTCGCTTTCACGTTCATATAGTCGGTCATTTAAACCGGAAGCCGTTCGAGTGTTCTATGTGCGCGTATCGTTCTAACTGGCGATGGGACATCACAAAACATATTAAACTTAAAGCAGCTAAAGACGCAGTGCATACGACCGCCAGAGTGCTCATGACGGATGAGACAGGTCGACGGAATTATTCCAAGTATAACAAATACCTCGCACAGGTGAAATAATGAATCTTAATAGTTACATAATAACTCATTGACTTATATCATATTGAGCGTAATGATTTAATATGCAATAATTTGCCTTGTGAAAGGGATGACAGAATCTCGGCACCACAATTCGGCCACGGCGCTCAAACGTCTTGATTGACACTGTGACACTCATTATAAGCATATTCTTAGTAATTATAGACGGGAAAAGAAATATCGATTCTATCTTTCTTTACGAAAGAGTTTCAGATCGATATTTTTGAAAATTCTGTAAAAATCAAACGAAATCGATTTTTCATTAAGAATGCGATACAAAATTTTTGGCGTAGATGTAGTTTGATAAATGTATTTCATGATTACATCATCCAATATCTTGTCATATGCGAAATTCTGTTTACATAGAGCAATGTTTTCTGGTACAGGTAGAACAACAACCGTGGGACGAAGATCATATGGAGGAACGTAGCATAGAAGAAGCCAACTCTGACGGACTTGCCTCGACAAAGTTGTTAATCGTAGACAACAACAAAGAGTACGTTCCGACAATTGATCTCGCATCACAATCTCCCGTCACGATCTTGCCATCGAGCGAGACGAATCAGAACGGTCATAATGTCGATGTGAGTTTGCGACCTCCACCACCGCTTAAAGCGGCAATCAAGAGTCGCGGACAGTCTCTGCTGAAGAACAATCCAATTACGTACATACATACTACTAGCAGCGGCGGTGCGCTTTCTATATCTACAGCGACGGATGAGAGCAAACGCATTCAGTGGAAGTGCAAACGTTGCAATTTTCGAGATTTCAATAAAGACACCGTCTTGTTACACGTTAAGTCCCATTACGAATCTGCTGATCAGGAACCCACCGAAGAAAGAGTAAGTTTCATGCTGTCAAATATATCTTATTTCTTGCGGTCGTAGAGCGCTTGTGCTCAAATTTAAATATTCCTTCTCGGAATAATATTGCTTTGAAAAAAGCAAGAAAATATAAATATGATACCTGAGCAGATAATTAAATAATATAAGTGGAGCCACTGTTACTAGATACGCAAATAGTTGATATAGAATAAGAAATATTCTTCTCTCTCTTTCTTGCTTTTAATCTTTATATTTTTATATTCAGTTACCTTTAACAAAATCCAATTTAATGTGCTTCTTTGTCTTTTTCACAGAATCCATTTGGTTGTGGGGATTGTCCCTTTTCAGCACCAGATGCTGCGACTCTGTCTCTTCATAGGATGCACCATCGGCCAAATTTGGAAGCTATATTCAAATGCTATCTTTGTCCATACTACGTTAGTACAAAGGCGTATGTGTCGCTGGTAACGCATTTTATAAACATGAACGTCGTTTCTTTTTAATATTGAGAAAAGCGCGCTAACTTTCCGTTTGTTATATAAAGAAGAGTGTATTAAAAAAAACATGATATATATAATGCAATATTTATATATAATGCAATTTCTCTGTTTGTTATACTACAGAGAACTGTTGGAGCACGCTAGACTTCATGGGGAAGAGTTGGCTGCTATCCATCAGCAAAACATGGATTCACCAAATTCCAAGAGTAAATTGCAACAAGTGTCGATTTCCGACGTCGGTAAGTTTCATAAATTGTACATTCAAATTGGAACACACACACACACACACACACACACACACACACACACACACACATACACACACAC